GTTTACATTAAGAAGTTAAGACACTCAGCCATAGCTCAACTCCCTCCCCCTCTCACAGTTTGTCAACTCGTGCATCTTACCTATTCTTTTTTACTGTTCACCCTTATTCTTTCCTGGATTGCTTACAGAAGACTATGTCATACTTCGTAGAACTCTGAAGACTGTCAGTAGGACAAGTAGTGGTATCCCATTGGACCACGTAGTTGACATTGTCATTGATAGTCAATTGATGCCATGCAACAAATTTGTTAAAGGAATTTTGTCAGACTGTGAGCATCCACCGAAGCACTCGCAGCTCCAACCTTGTTTCTCCTCAGGTAAAACAAGAAGTCATTTCAAAAGACTTTATGCATGTACATTTAAGTATAGAAATTCCACTATACCATATTTAGAACAACACATTTAAGCGAACAATATTGTTTTCAATTAGATCTCATCAGGCTTAACTCTAATATATATAAGTTTACAAATAAAATTCAAATATAAACCAATCATGGTGTTTTGTCTATAGGACCCTTCGCTTACCTTTACTTGTGAAGAGGAGCAGGAGAATAAATTACATTTCCTGGATGTCTTGCTAAGTAGGAGAGAAGATGGGTCACTTGGGAGAAGGGTGTACAGAAAAAGCACATTCACAGGGCAGTACACACACTTCCGTAGTTACGTGCCCATTAAATATAAAAGGAATCTTGTAAAATGTCTCGCGAGCAGAGCAAGGAAGATATGTACGGAGGACCTCTTGCAAAAGGAGTTTGAATATATTCACGATTCCTTGACGGAGATGGGTTATCCGAGTAGTTTCATAAAGAAACATATGAAACCATCAGAGAAGAAACCTGTGACTCTTACTGCACATAAGAAACCTCTATTTATTAAGTTACAATTTAATGGGGACTTATCTAGTGAGATTCTATTCCAAAGACTTTCAAGGAGCATACGTAGAACATTTTACGCAGCACACCTATGCTTGTCATTCTCTAGCCGACGAATGATTGGGACGCAAACGAAGGATAAGCTTGATAGTTTTGCCACATCTATGTGTATTTATCAATTCAACTGCACCTGCGGTGACAGTTATATTGGGCGTACTACTAGACAGCTTAGCCAACGTGTTAGTGAACATCTCCCATCGTGGTTTGGCAAAGGACAGACAAAAACAATCCGTAGCTCAATTCTGTCACATCTAATTGATAGTGGTCATGTAGTCGATAAAACGAAAGCCTTCAAAGTAATTCATCGTATCCCTCCGAATCTTTCTAATAGACTTCGTATTCGTCTACTGCACACAGCTGAGGCGATAGGCATTCGAACTATTAAACCTAAGCTATGCATTCAAAAGAAGTTCGTGCAGCCATTATCCCTCCCATGGCCTAATAAGACATAACCAACGAAAGACTTCTACCCCCACCCCTTTATTTATATTTCCAACCCCTTTCTTATCATCCCTTAATCTTATCTTATATTCATTATAAACGTGTTTCATTTCCTTCCCCTACAATCTAACATTACGTAATCGGTTCATTTGTTTTTACTAGCCTTTATCGACTACTTCCACCTGAACAATTGTTTGTTTAATCATACTGTTTTTCATTATTCATGTTATCACAGATTGCCTCATTTTTTCATCCTTATTATTGATAAGACCATTATTATTATTATTACTATTATTAATATTATCATTACCACTATTATGACTAACTGCACAATTTATATTCACCATCGTATTATCCTATAGACAAAACACCATGATTGGTTTATATTTGAATTTTATTTGTAAACTTATATATATTAGAGTTAAGCCTGATGAGATCTAATTGAAAACAATATTGTTCGCTTAAATGTGTTGTTCTAAATTCTACTATGGGAATATTTAATATATACCATATTTAGCACGTATTTTATGTGATAAAGATAGTAATACGCATGAACTAACTAACCTTCTTTGCAACAGTAAATAAACCATTTTCTTCATCCTTATTCCACGAAGCTTCATTGTTAGGTGTTCCTCTTATATTTATCAACCCTTCAAATTTTTCTTTGTTTATTTTATTTTCTCTTACGTTTGGACGTGATCTAAGCTCTGTAATAACTGTTATTTTTATCTATCCCGTCAACATGCTATATCAGCAGAATATAAGATTCGCTACTCTATAACATGCTAAAATTTCCAAATTGAATCGACAATACTGTTTGAAACAAAATCACTGTTATTATTACTATTATTATTATATTTATTATTCTCAATTTGTACTCCGAATATTTTAGACTTTATTCTTACTGTAAATGTTGACAAATTCCTCTGGTTAATTTTGTTTTAATTTGATTTATATTTTCAGTAAATCAGATGCATTATTGTGAAAAGTGATGAGAATTCCCTTTTGAATTATAAGTCCTATTTCTGGAATGAAGTTTATTATTATTACTTTAGAATTCTCTACGACTTGACCAATATTCTCGCTTGACATGCAAGAAGCATTGCCTCTGTCCTCCAAGTTACTCTGTCTTCAACAACGAGTCAATGACAAGCACCTGCGTTCCAGTGGCTGAACAACCATTGAGCTTATCTTGTAACATGAAGGTCTTAGGCTTGATCCCTAATATCCCTGCTGTGGTCTAGTAGTTAAGATACTGGTTTTTGACTGCGTTCAACCAGGTTAGAACCCCGGCAGTTACATCCTACTGGTGTGTCGGTGGTTGAGAGGCAGAATGCTCACCTACGATGCTTCACGTGGTCAGAAGTTCGGCCCACGCGCGGATGCACTCAAGAATTCCCCCACGCCCGTAGTAAGCTCAGTAAGGAGGGAATGGTTGGGCGTGAAGCTAGCAACCCCACCTCGTGAAAATAAAACCACTGCCACTCAAACTTTCAAGCTTTCAACCAGTTGAAGCCCCGTGTACCACTAGGTTCACAAAAGAGGTAGCCAGCAAAGACGACTGATAAACTCGTCGAGAACTTTAAAGGCTTACTTAAAACTGAAGTATGCGCTGAAGACATCGTCTAGAAAAACAATAGAAGCTTAAAAATCACAACTACAACGATATCATCCATTTTGAGGTACAAATCATCTCCATTATATTAAAAGAGTAAATCAGTGGAAAATTATCGATTTTTTCCATTATGACCTAGAAGAGAGCTCAGACATTGTATCGCATTGTATTCAATTATATGTAATTACAAAATAGGGTGGGTTGGACAGGGTGAGATTATTCAAAAATTAGATAGTTTGGTGGATAAGGAGATTAATCAGTAAATCTCTATGTCTCAATCCAATACCGTACACGTGCAATCGATTGACACAACGCTTACACCTAAAAAATGGGATAAATCCCTGAGATTCTCTTTTACTAGCTGTCATCGCCTCAAAAGTTGTTGGCTCATAAGGGAACCATTCAAAACTAGCGGATACATGGCACATGTCTTGGTCATCTCAAACGATGTAGCTTCACAACCTCATTGACTTATTTGACGTCCTCACCAAGCAGTCTATGCCTAACCTCAATATTACACTTACCACATTGTGGTGGTGTGGTACAGACGTGTTCCGAGGGAATATTATTCTCACATATTTCCGCAGTTCAGTATTGCATTAGCAGCAGAATTCCATTTATATTTGACAATTCTATTTCACGTCATTTAATGTAAACCAAAATCCCACACTGTTTGGTGAAAGAATATAAAACTATATATATATATATATATATATATATATATATATATTGCGGTTTGATCCCTTTAAAATATACCGTAGCTCTTGTGTCTTCCCTTATGGTGTTTCAAAATTACACTACTTAGCACGGGAGATAGAACGCAAACATTTGTAATCGAAGACAGTTAGCGTCTTCACATCTTTCTCCTTCAACTGCTTCGTCTCACAGCGATAAAGGAGGACAGAGAGAACTCCTGTGGAGTACACACACCCTTGAATAGACAAGCAGACAAAACTGAGTAAATGTCAAGCGAGCCTTTTATATCCTTACTGAGATTTTGTGAATAATTAATCCACTACGGCTGATGTAACTTTCCAAATAAGTGAAGTGGTCAATATGCTCAACCAATCTACCCTCTATGTTGTACCTGGAAGTCATGCAACTGAGCCGTTCAGTATCATTTTACAGCTGACTGACACAGGCGAATCATATGCTAAACATCCTAAGATTCTCTACTAAAGGTTTTCAGAAGACGCTGAAATTCATCAGTAATTATGCCTTTCTAAGTGGAGAATATCATCTCTTCAGCCGTGCATAATCATGATGCCATCAGAGATTGAATCCAGTACCTAGAAGTTATGAGGAGAGTACATTGAACAATTAGATACTTGGACATAAATGGACATCTCTCCTTTGATATTTATTCACATACAGTAAAACATGCAGTCAACAAGTGGAGCATATCGTTGACAAATTTAAATAATATGGCTTAGAATTAAACATTTTTTAAAATTTTATTTTTGATTACATCTTGACTCCACACTGTACTTTTGGTACAAGTATGGAATTTTCAGCATGGATATCGGTAGCCCGAATTTTGGAGGCCGACCATAGATATCAGGTGTGAGTCGGCAGGGGATCGAACCTCGTAACATGTGCATGGTCGGCGAGAGTCCTAACCACTGTGCTACCGACGCACAAACATACCAATGGACACAAATGTAGCCTTTATCTTTATATACAATGTGATCACATGTTTCGATGTATTTTGTTCCCTTTCCACATAGTTTCCAAAATGTCATCTAATCATTTGTCTTTTATATTGTTTTACTTTACTGTTATATATATGTAATAAAGTGCAGAAAAGTTGAATAGTTATTTGACATTCAATTTGCTTTTTACTCTCTCCCTGTCTCTTGCTATTTACTTATAGTTTAGCGATAAAATTTATTCATTGTTCAATTCTGTTCAATGTTCAACAAAACATTCAAAATAATATAATAATAATAATAATACACCTTAAATGCATACTATGCATTATTTATTATCGTTATAAATTCAATAACTCTTACCATGTCCATTGATAGCAAAGGAATAAGTACTATCTTGAATTGTATACGCGCACATGCCTGTATTATCTCCAATTGGTGAATTATAAGTGTTGTTTAAATTGTCCAATGTTGATAATGATGATGAATAGGCGGTGACTTTACCAATTTTATCACCAGGTCGATGTAATGAATCAATGTTAAAGTGATATCTTCTCTTTGACCATATTGGTACATCTGATCGAATATGCTAGAAAAATAATTAATGAAGAAATAAACAGTTATTATTAAATAGGTAATGAAAATATGTTTATTATCAATGTAAAAACTGGCGTGGAATTATGCTTCTGTCCATTCCAAGCAAGATACTAAGTCGCATCATCCTGGAGAGAATCAAACAAGCCCTAGATGAAAAACTTCGTCCGGAACAGGCCGGATTCAGGAGAAACAAATCATGTATTGATCAAATCGCCACTCTACGGATCATCATTGAACAAAGCTTGGAATGGCTGTCACCTCTCTATCTCAACTTCATCGACTTTGAAAAGGCCTTCGACAGCGTCGATCGAGAGGTCATTTGGAAACTACTTCGCTACTACTGGGGTGCCATCGACAATTATACATCTCATCCAACAGTTATACGACAATGCTGCATGAGGCCAAGTAATCCACAACGGGAAACTTACGGAAGCCTTCGAAGTGAGGACGGGAGTGAGGCAAGGCTGTCTACTATCGCCAATGATCTTCCTGATTGCAATTGATTGGATAATGTGACAGACAACGGCAACCAACGAGGGAACAGGCATAAAATGGAGTCACACAAAAGACTTGGAGGATCTGGATTTCGCCGATGATATATGTCTGATTTCCCATAAACTGGAAGATATACAAGTGAAAAGTAACAAGTTGGCAGAAGAAGCATCAAAGATAGGACTTCACGTGAACATAGATAAAACAGAGATAATGAAGATTCCTAGCCAACATCAACAACACCAACAGACACAATAAGCATAAATGGGAAGAACCTGAAAGAAACAACCTCCTTCACCTACCTGGGAAGCATCGTCTCAACTACAGGCGGAATTGACGAGGACATCAAAGCCAGAATCGGAAAAGCAAGACAAGCTTTCATTACTCTCAAATCTGTGTGGAGGTCAACAGCACTCAGCATCAGAAATAAGATCCGGATTTTCAACTCCAATGTGAAGTCAGTGCTACTATACGGATCAGAGACTTGGCGAGTCATAAAGAGCATCTCAAACAAACTTCAAACCTTCATTAACAGCTGTCTCCGCTCAATACTCAAGATCAGATGGCCAGAAAAGATCAGCAACAGGGATCTCTGGGAGCGAACCAATCAGGAACCGATGATGCAACAAATAGGCAGAAAGAAATGGAGATGGATTGGCCATACTCTGAGGAAACCATCAAGTGACATCACTAGACAAGCCATTGCTCGAGTGGAACCCGAAAGGGAGGCGTCGAGTTGGTCGTCCAAGGGTGACTTGGAGGAGACCATGCGAGGAGGAGATGAAAGCATGTGGACAGACCTGGGGTGGGGTGAAAAAGTTGTCAGAAAACCGAAGGCAATGGAGGTGCTCAGCTGAAGCCCTATGTTCCTCTAGGAACTAAAGGATACAATAATAATAATTACTACTTTTATAATTTGCTTGCTTTCCTAGTACGATATAAAGCCATAACTGAATACTTACCCTTCAATGACAGTTCGAGGCAAAAGTGAATGTTGTTTAGTGGACACTTACTGAAGATTTCATAAAGCTAAGAGATTAATTCACAGAACTTGATATAAGTATAAAACTTATCCATAATGAAGTTAATTCACAGAACATTTGAAAATAATTGCAGTGACAACAATATAAAATGACTGTCATGAATAAATAGCCTGATGCATAAAAATGTAGTATATGATACGTTGAGTTATGGGTTCAAGTCTCTCTCAGTGGGGACACTGTAACTCATTTGGATTCAGGAACATTCAACTAAGAAGTTTGAAATAGGAGGGGAACATGCGTCCTAGATTTAACTACTAGCTACTATCATTCAACTAAGGAGAATAAACTGTATCGCTTATCTGATTCTGCACTCATAGGAAGCTACAATGTCAAGTTGCCAAAGAAGGGTGACTTAGGCTGCACTCTTCAGGGAGTGGCGTGGAATTATGCTCTTGTTCATGCCAAGTAAAATACTAAGTCGTATCATCCCGAAGAGAATAAAGCATGCATTGATGCAGAACTCCACCAGCCCTGAACAAGCTAGACTCAGGAAAGCAAATCAAATTGCAAATTTAGACATCGTCATCAGAGAACAAAGCAGAGAATGGCAGTCAAACATTTACCTTGACTTCACCGACTTCGAAAAGGCCTTCGACAGAGTAAATCAAGAAGTTGTTTGGAAACTACTGAGGCGTGTAGTGCCAACATCTTAATCAACCTCGACAACTGGCTATAAGACAATTTCACGTGTCAGGTGATCCACAACGGAGAACTTAGAGAGGCATTCGAAGTGAACACAGGAGTCAGACAAGCTTGCCAATTATCACTGATGATATTCTTAATTGTGATGGACTGGATCATGCGTCAGACTGTGGGTGAGGAGCGAGGTGACAGGAATACTCTGGACCATCGAGGAGAAGACTCTAGAAGATCTGGATTTCGCAAATGATATATGTCTAGTGTCATATAAACTCGAAGATTTGCAGGCGAAAACCAAAAAAACTGTTTTAATAGGCAGGAACCGAAGACAGGACTGCAGATGAACATATAGAAGACGGAGTTGATGAAGATAACTAATCAACAGCAGCAACAAGCGGGACCAATCGTCATCTGTGGGAGAGATTGAACAGAGGTTATCTCTTTCACTTATCTAGGAAGCATCGTTTCAACTAAAGGCGGAATGGATGAAGATATCAAAGCTAGCTAGAATTAGAAATGCAAGATACGCCCTCATGAACTGAAACCAGTTTAGAAATCTTCTGCATTCAACATGAGGAACAAGATTTCATTCAATTTGCAGTCAGTCAGTGCTTCTATACGGGTTAGAAATTTGGCCAGCATGTCACGTAAAGGATTTCCAACAGCTTGCAGACTTTCATTAACAGTTGCCTTCTCTGGCTCGATACTGAAGTGGGAACAAAGCAACCATAAATGGATCGCTCGATAAATATGTAGGTGAAATCGGAGATAGATATGGGATACATTCAGGAAACCGTCGGACAAGTGGACTCCCAGTGGGAATCAAAGAGTGGGTCGTCCTAGGGTGAATTAGAGGAGATCGTGAGGAGAGGAGATGACAGATCATTGGAATTGGTGAACCAAACTGAAGGTGACAGCAAAAAGCAGAACAAAGTGAAGAAGTGTTGTTGAAGCGCTATGTTCCACTTAGAACCCAAGGGAATAACAGTAATATAATAATTTCATTCCTTTATGTCTTCAGTGGAAAATAGCACTTCACAAACTAAAGCTTTAAAGTTTCAGTGGCAGTTGTTTTTGTTTTTATGGAGTAAATTTGCTAACCTAACTCATTCACAAAGTTCCCTCTTGATCGGCCTTACTAACACCATCTCAGTGACTGATTATTTATTTACAGGATTTTATCATGAGCTGATATTGGTTAGAGAACCATTGGAAAACCACCACTGGAGTACTGGACAGCTGTTTCGTCAGCCTAGTGTGGGACTCTTCATCAGTACGCACCCACCGGGATTCGAACCCAGGACCTTCTGGTTACAAGGCGAGCTCATATACCATCGAGCCACTGGGACCCGATCCAATGGCCAACCCACGAATTCGAACTTCTGCCAATTCACGACATAGCGCGACCCTTAGCCAATGTCTTCGCTGGCGAGTATTTGTCCTCACGCCCAACCAGCTGCACCCTACTGGTCACGATTTCTCACTAGAACCCCAGGTAACTACCTTTTTATTTATTTATTTTCATTTTTGATTACAGCTGGATTCTACTCAGTATTTTTGGTACAAGTATGGAATTTTCAGCATGGATATCGGTAGTCCAAATTTTTCAGGCCGAACATAGATATCAGGTGTTCGTCAGCAGGGGATCGAATCTCGGACCATGTGCATGGTTGGCGAGAGTCCTAACCCCTGTGCCACCGACGGACGGACCACGTGAAGCCTTCTTTCGCTGAACGAACTACCAACATACAGAATGTCCACTCCATCTTCTGAATTTTCTTAGAAAAAAAATAGAACTTATCAAAAGAGAGTCTAAAGTGAATTGTTTGTTTTAGCTTTCATAGCTTTTAATTAATACAAATGCAATTTCTCCTTCATAAAAGTAGAAGTTCATGTTTAAAGGATAAAAGATAAAGAAAGCGTATGGCCATATCAATAAATCTCTTCTTGAATAAAGTTATTTTTTTTTCATATTTTTTAAGATTGATGAGACAGTAGGAGCTTGTGAAATTTATTCTAAGAATAACGTATAATTATATTTTAATAGTTTACACACAATGATAAGTTTTGTTATTGGTAATATTTCGAGCGAAATTACTGCCCGTGTTCACACCACTGTTGGAATTATTTTATAAAACAACAATTGTGGGATAAAACAATTCCAACAGTGGTGTCTGTCTGTCTGTCTGTTTTCGACATAGAACTTTGCACAAATGTGCGGAAGTTCAAGTCGCCACACTCCGTGTAGTACGCGAAGCAAGAGAAGAAAGTACAAGAAAAGCATAATAGAGACAGTGAGCAGAGGTGTGAGACAAAGCAGTAATAAAGAAAAACAAAACAGTTTCATTGGAAATCATAAGTCACAACTGGTGGATGTATCTTCGCTAGCCATTGAGAACGATTTTGAGCCATATTCCCAATTGTTTCCAACCATTGGTTGTTACCGTCCCGAAGACTTCAACCAGTTAGGAAGTCTACACCTTCCTAAGCGACTGGTTTAAGCTAACTGTTGTGGGTTTCATTGACTGATGGCATGTTTTGGTTTGACCACCGCCAGCTCTTTTCCAGCCTGACCCTATATCCGCTAACATTGCTCGTCGAGGGAGGCGATGGCTTGGCATACGTAACACATGTCCTAACCATCTCAGTCGATGTAACTTCACGACTTCGTCGATTGATTTCCCCTGTTTACCTAGAACTCGACGCCTAACTTCAATGTTGCTCACCTTATTATGCCACTTTACACGGGAGATAGAGTGCAGGCACCTATGATCAAAGACAGCTAGTCAGTGTTTTCATGTCTTCCACTCTCAGTGAC